AACCGCTTAGAGAGGGCTGAAAGCCCTATGAAGCGGTATATAAGTCAAACTGCTATTGCTATTGCTAATCTAAGAAATATTTTTTTCCTTTTATTTTTTTATAGTGTGCAGAAAACACCAAGTTTTTGGTGAGAGCCTCTTATCTGGAGATCTATAATGAAGAAATCAGAGACCTCCTGGGTCCTAACACCAAGCACAAACTGGAGGTGAGGACCACAGACTAACAGGGCAAGAACTTAGTATGAAGTAAGTCAAACAACCCAACAATGCCAGAAATTTAAGCTCTGACAATTCACTATGAGCAAAAGAAATTATGTCAAGAATATTTGTTATACAATGAAAAATTTATTAGTGACATGAAATCAAAGATGAGACAGGTTAGCCAAATAAGTAGCTCATTGAATTAAGCAATAAATCAGGGTGATCAAGCTCTCCATTCTGAAGCGACAAATTCTTGAATATTCTGGGTTCTGAATGTTTCCCCGTCAGTTAAAATCAAGATAGGCCAGATTTCTGCATGTCTATGTTGATGTGCGTTTTCCTAGAATGGGGAAATGGTTACCGAAGATAAAACAACTTCTTGATACGGACAAATTGACCTGTTGGTTAGAAAAAAAGACAATATCAATGTTTATTGCTGACTAGAAATCCCTTATAGACTTTTTGTGTAAAATAGAAAAAAATGAATTTACTATTTTAGATGATTAGATGAGATATAGAAAAAAGAGTCATGATATAACTTACAGAAAGATGTAAATCTATAATTGTACTTCTTACTGCTGTAAAGGAGATCAAAAACCACTTCCTTTTCTGCGTGACCCGACAAATGCGCGCTAGACAAATGCGCGATGACAAAACCGCGACAACAAAACCACAATGTCAAAATTGCGCCCACAAAAGCGCGCCAACAAATGCGCGACAAGCACAATTAGAGTTAGGGTTAGGGTTATAACGTACGTATACGCGTCCCACTATGTAGTTTGTTGATGACGAGATTTTGTCGGTGCGCATTTGTTGGCGCGCTTTCGTGGGCGCGCTTTTGACGTCGCGGTTTTGTCATCGTGGTTTTGTCAGCGCGCATTTGTCTAGCGTGCATTTGTCGGTGACCCCCTTTTCTGTTTCTTTTACTTAACATTTATATTAGTTTGTATTAGTTTTTGCCTTTGTTTTTAAATGATTTGAAATGGTTTTAAACCAATTATATAAGAAAGGAGAATTTATCCCTTTCGGATACTCAGTAGCAGGGCATTCACTCAGTAGTAAAGCACCATTATACTATACTCTATTGTATATTCAAGATCTTCCTTCTGGTAGATTGAGCCGAGGTGGCGCGGTGGTTAAATGCAGCACTGCAGGCTACTTCAGCTGACTGCAGTTCAGCAGTTCG